CAGTTTTCTCAGAAGTGGGATACGCATGACGAATAAGACACGCGTGTAATCAGACTCGTGTACGATCGGTCGTGTGCGATTACGTTATTTTATGAAGTGCGGATCGCTAGAGAAAGTCCGTGCGTAATCGATATATCGTGTAGGAAAATTCTTACGATACGATTGCTTGAGTCGCCATCATGGACGGCGCGTATGATTTTACGAACAATCAGCTCAAAGAATTTATGAAGCAACTGAATCTTAACGTGTCTGGTACAAAAGCGGAACTAGTGGCAAGGCTTGATGCGGCTCTTACGCGGGAAAAATGGCTTCCCATGTTGCAGAAAAAGATCACGGAAGGCGCGGAAGGCTCAGAAGTATTTACCGACGCACCTACCGGCCCAGAAATATTGAATTATCAAGCTCATCCCGTACAAAATGTGCCTGAATTCCTTGCGCGAGAATTGGAATTTATGCGCCGAGAGAGAGAGTTGATGCAACGAGAACTTGATCTCGCGAAGAGAGAGAACGAAATACTAAGGAACACCCCTCATTCTGACGTGACTGTTAGAACATCAAATATTACACTAAGATCAATCGGCGATTATTTATGTGAGTTCCACGGAACGGAAGATACCTTCTTAATATGGGAAAAGGAGGTTAGGAAGCTGCGAGTCATGTACAATCTCGATGACAATTCTACAAAACTATTAATCGGTGCAAAAGTCAAAGATAAGGCAGCAACTTGGCTACATTCTAAAGCAGAATACATCGATATGGACGTGGACAGCCTGTTAAATGAGATGAAAAAAATGTTTGACCATCGGCCCAGTAAGCTCTCGCAGAGGCGGAAGTTCGAGGAAAGAAAGTGGAAAATTGGCGAAACGTACCGAGGATATCACCACGATAAAATTATCCTTGGAAATAAATTATCCCTCGAGGAAGATGAACTTATTGAATATGTGATAGATGGCATCCCAGATTTACGACTACGAGATAACGCCCGAATGCAACAATTCTCCTCGCTCGATACTTTGTTCAGTGCTTTTGAAGATATCACACTACAAACGTCACAAGACAATAAGAAGAGTACCCCTCTCCCGACGAAATTAAAATCTGGGGCTAGTCGTGAAGAGGCTCAGCTAATAAAATGTTACAATTGCAACGAAAAAGGACATTTTTCTAATTCGTGTCCGAAACCAGAACGAGAAAAAGGCTCTTGTTTCCATTGCGGGAAAACGGATCACCAGATCAAGGACTGTCCTACGGCGAGAAAAGAGTTGAAACAAAGGAGTGGCAAAGAAAATAATAGCGCAAATAACACAACGGATAGCACGACAAACAGCACGACGGCACTGGTAGAAGCACCGACAGGATGTCGAAACACTGAGGACAATTCTGCCCGAGAGGAAATTTTAAATCATCAACGAAAGGAACCATTAACCAAACCCACCAGGAAGTATTGCGTATTGTTAACAAAAGCGTCGGAAAATCATTATTATTTAGAAGCATTAGTGGATTCCGGTAGTGCGATAAATATTATGAACGAGAGTACATACCTAAATTTCTTTAATGATGAAAATCTAATTCAAAGTAAACCTGACACTAATTATGGAGGAATAAATAAATCGCCTTTATGCATTCTTGGAACATTTACACCAAAAATTCGATTACATCTGATACCTGATCATACATTTTCTCTAAAATTTGTAGTTGTTCCGAACTCGACTATGACATATGACATTTTATTAGGTCGCGAATTTATAGATACACCCGGATTAACAGTTACGTTTAATCAGTCCTTACAAATAACATATAACGAATTATTAAGCGATATATTAAATATTGAAGCTATTGAATATGCGAATCCATTAGATACCGTTTCTAATAATCTAGATGTGTCATTATCTTACAAAACTAAGGAAAAATTATTAAATCTACTCAATATTTATCTTTATTCCACAGAAAAGACTGAAAATATTCCATATGAATTTGAAATTCAGTTAACCAATACGGGCAAACCATTTTACTATACACCTAGACGTCTCTCGTGGAGCGAACGAAGAGAAGTAAGGAATATCATCGATGGACTGCTGCAGAAAAAATCATAAGGCCTAGCAACTCTAATTTTTGCAGTCCAATTGTACTCGTCAAAAAAAAGAATAATACATATCGGATGTGCATTGACTACCGAACTCTTAATAAAATTACGGTAAAGGATAGATATCCTTTACCGCTAATGGAAGATCAAATTGATCAATTATCCGGTAAGTCATACTTTACAAGCCTTGATTTGAAAGACGGATTTCATCACATTCCAATCGCTAACAATTCAGTTAAATTCACCTCATTTGTCACACCGGACGGACAATATGAGTACTCAAAACTACCTTTTGGTTTAGCCAATGCCCCTGCAGCATTCCAACGATGCATTAACATGATACTCAAACCATTACTTGATGCGGGGAAAATACAAATATATCTTGATGACATTATGATTGCGACACACACAATTGAAGAGAATTTAGAAATTCTCAAAGAAGTTTTGAATTTGTTAACACGATATGGCTTAGAATTAAATCTTAGTAAATGTCAATTTTTAAAACGCGAAATCGAATATCTTGGCTACAACATATCAGAAAATAATATTACTTTAAATGAATCTAAAATAGAGGCGATAAAAAAATTTCCACTACCAAAGACTGTCAAACAATTACAAAGCTTCTTAGGTCTAATAAGCTATTTTCGTAAATTTATTGCAGGTTATGCTCAAATTGCGAAGCCTTTATATGATCTCACTAAAAAGGATATGCCTTTCACGTTTGGTAAAAATGAATTACGTGCATTCGAGATATTAAAAGAAAAATTGACTAATCATCCTATATTAGCTTTATACAATCCTAAAGCAGTTACCGAACTACATACAGACGCTAGTTCTCACGGATATGGTGCTGTATTATTGCAACGTCAACAAGATAGTCATATGCATCCCATTATGTACTACAGTCAACGTACAACAGCCACTGAAAGTCGCTACCATAGCTACGAACTCGAGACTTTAGCTATTGTTTATGCTCTCAAAAGATTTAGAGTTTACTTACAAGGCATACCCTTCGTAGTGGTAACCGATTGTAACGCTGTACAATTAGCTTTAAGTAAAAAAGATATTAATCCGCGCATCAGTAGATGGTGCATGATTTTACAAAACTACGATTACAAAATCGAACACCGTACTTCTGACCGTATGCGACATGTAGACGCGTTAAGCCGCAACATTTTAATAATAGAACCACTTTCATTCGATGAAATTTTAGTATATAAGCAGTTACAAGATCCTATTATTAAAAAAATTCGGGAAGAACTAGAGATTCATGAAAGTAATAAATTTGAGCTAAATGGAGTTGTATATAAAAAACATAACGGCGAAATCTTTTTCTATGTTCCCAATACTATGACACAAGATATAATACGAATATGCCATGATGAAGTAGGTCATGTTGGACCTGAAAAAACAATTGACTTAATTAACAAAACTTATTGGTTTCCGGCAATGCGCATTCGTGTAAAAGATTACATTTCAAATTGCGTTAAATGTTTAACATACTCAGTACCAACAGGAAAAGTCCAAGGTAGACTTCACATTTATGAAAAAGGTGACAAACCTTTCGAAACATTGCACATCGACCACTATGGTCCTCTCGAAAAAGTGGGACATGGATTTAAATACATTTTCATTATAATCGATGCTTTTACAAAATATACAGTAATATATCCAGTTAAGTCAACAACAACAAAAGAAGTAATCGCTTGTCTTAAAGAATACTTTCATCATTTTGGCATATGTCAACGAATCATCTCCGACCGAGGTAGTTCTCTAGTCTCCGATGAATTCACCTGTTATTTAAAACAATCAAACATTAAGCATGTTAAAGTAGCAACTGCTAGCCCCCAAAGTAATGGACAAGTAGAACGAGTGAATAGGTTTCTACGAGCTATCTTGTCTAAACTATCGACTGAAGGAAAATGGATTGACTTTATAGCCAAAAGTCAATTCTCTTTAAATAATACGCTACACAAATCAATAGGAACGACACCTAGTTTATTACTGTTTGGTAAAGAACAATATGGTTTTGCAGATGACGATTTAAGAGAGTACTTTCATGCAATCCAAGATCTAGAAGTAAACCGGAGTAATCTCCGAGAAGAAGCTATTGTAAAAACACGTACAATGCAAGAATATAATAAGCGAATGTACGATGCGAAACATAAAAAACCTAATGTATATAACATCGGCGATTATGTTATGATTAAGAATGTTATAACAACACCCGGCGTTAACAAAAAACTAGCCCCTAAGTACAAAGGACCTTACGTTATAGATTCAGTCTTAGACCGCGACAGATATGTTATTAAGGACATAGAAGGATTCCAAATAACCCAACGACCTTTTACTGGCATATTCGGGCCAGATCGCCTAAAACCATGGATTAGACGAATAGAAAGCCCAGAAGAAAGCGAA